TAACAACATCCCAACAAATCTAAAAAAACAAACAAAGCTGACAATGATAGCTTACATAGTTTCGTCGGTTTGACATGGTCAGGAATCAAGAAGACGGTTCGATCAAGCATAGGAGATCGTATGCAAATTTTAGAGCGGCATCGCAAACAACATCATCACCGATAGCCAAATCAAGAGACATATTGGAAGAGTGTAATTGTAGGGACATGAACGTCATCAAACCAAGTTGCCCTGCAATAATAGTTGGCACTTGTAAGTGATACTGATATAGATAACTACTTGTAATCAATTACAACATATAATTGACTACTTGTAAATGATGATTTCAAAAATGATAACATACCTAGGTTCAATGTTTGGAACATTGGTTTTACGATCTTGATTGTGAATGTGGTAAGGGTGTCGGTTTTCATCTTGATATTGTAGGCGATTTTCCTAATGAAATGAGATATGCACTGAGCGAGAGGGGCGACACTGGTCTTAAGCTTCATCTCCTTAAAATTCTCGTAAGGATTAAGGACTAATATCTCATGACTCTCAAAATTGATTCATAAACATATTTACTGCCCACTTCGTAGAGACCAATCTGAGTGTACCATGAGCGTCTGGCTTTGACATATTCAAGAGCACCACTCGGTAGTGTGACTGGTTTCTTTTTAGGCGGGTTAATGAACTAGAGATGGAGCTGTTCAATATGGTGAATGAAGGCATACTAAACGAAGTCAACTTTCGAATGGACATCGTTCAATTCGAAAGCTGATGTCGGAATAATCTAATGACGCTGTCAATAAACTAGCAAGAGAGAGATTTTTGGTCAGTATTCAGCTATTTGTGAACGAGTATTAGTAGTTAACTAAAAAACTACTAGTAAATGATTACCACGGCAGAGATAAGGAATTTCAAAGAGATCTCTTTCAGTATGTTCACCGAGAGGAATATCCCATCCTAGCAATCCAATTTCCCACATAAATGACAACAATAATAATATGTACATGCATTACGTTCTTTCAAAATTAATCTAGATTGTTTTACTTACCGACTATCTTCCATCCTTGCTTGAAGGAAAGTGACTTGCTCAGGAGTGGTGGCAGAAAGAAATGACTCAAGTCCACCGAATTGTCATTTTTTTAGATCGTTTTGGGCGTGGAACCACGAAGTCTGTTATTGTGGTTGAAGGTTGGGCTACTCGTTTATTTTTACGGACTGGTTGGGGCTCCTCAGCTGGAATCTTATTGGTCGGTACCATGTTTTTTTCTTCTTGTGTAAGACCAAGAGACCAAACAGGAGGATCAACAAGGTTTCGATCTGTGTGTCGGGCTTTACCATATCTGTAACCTACCACAAAGAAGAAATAGTCGAGTATTAAAAATTAACTAGTAATAACTAATAGGCGAATAAAGTACATGAACAAAACATCTATAAAAATTCTCAAACATAGTAATTGTGTACTAATAGTTAGTTATTGAAGATTTACATAAAATTCATTTTCTAATTCGAAAAATGGACAAGAACAAGAGATCTCAAATGTACGAATGATAAGAACGATTAAAAAGAAAAATCTTACCAAACTAAGAGAAACCAGATGACGCCGACTGGGACGTCGAATAGCGATGTGGCGGAAGGCTGGGATTACAGCCGACGAAACCCAAGTTCACCGGATAAAGTAACTTCGACGGCAGGCGGGCGTTGTGGTAGGTTAAAATGGAGGGGAACAGCGAAAACTTCTGAGAAACGAAGACAAAAAAAGTGACAATTGCTGAATAATTTCAGAGGTGAGAGAGAAAAAAGGAAAATGGCAGACGTGACATGATGAAGGGTATTAAGAGAGGTTTTATTGAAGGAATACATTTTTTTGTTTTAAAAAAAACGGTTACCAAAGCAGTTGTCACAAACATTCAAATTCTATAATAAGACATGTATTTAGAAGTGGATAACGCAAGGAACAATTGTAACTTGGTCCATAAATCAAGGAAAACAAATCCAGTATTCAACTACAATATTAAGTTAATAACATGCAAAAAACACAACTATCACGATGCGATAATTATCTACTGATAGTCGATTACACCAATTTTAAAAAACTGCATACATATCCGACTATGGATAGAAGACACTCCTCGCTAGCTAGTACTGAGCAAACAGGTAGCAATGCTCGCAGAGCATCTGATGCTTGAAACAGCAGATGGGAAAATCGGCATATATATTGGGTAAGATCACGTCCACGGTGAACTCTTTGCAACATGCTATCAAATCCCTTACTTGATCACCAATCCCTTCCATGTACTCCATTCGTGACTTCCAACCAACTCTACGGTCTAGGATTACCAGCCCTCTTGTATAGTGACCAAATGCGGTGCCACAAATTGCAAGCATTAATGTTGCTGTATCGACTCCAGCTTTAGACGCGTGGCTAAAAAACTTAGGGGAACCTTCGACATCATTATCAACAGTTATTGTCGTTATGCCGCGAAGGTACAATGATGTCGGATTACCGGAAGTGATCGCCGACTCAAGAAAGATAGGGTACCGCTTCATCAAGCTGGGTTTTTGGACGAATGCATTAAGGTTTACAACCCTAATGACAGATGGTTCCTTGAAAGTTTCGTTGAGGAACTTACATGAACTAGCAAACGAGCAAGCGTTTATTGCAGACTCCCTAGCAACTCTTTAAAAAATATCAACCAGTGCATCGCGGATCTGGGGAAGCAAATAATTTGTGAAGGGTGTCGGCTCGGATTGTCGGAGATTCCACATATCCCTAAAAGCAACAAACGAAAAATAGTCAGCTACAGCTAAACGACTATGATTCTAAAATGTGTAAAAACTTCAAAAGTAGCTAACTGTGTTGTGTATAACTAGTAAACACTGTACAAACTTTGATGTACCACAAATTCTGCAAAAAATAATAAATCTACGAAAAAAAGAACAAGTGAAAATGGTAGATCTAGCAATTCAACTAACCCAGCTGAGAACGATAACGGTCACAAACGTTTACATATGCACAAAGATGAAACTTTAAGTAACAATTAGCTCGATCCAAGAGAATTCGACGGGTTATCTTTCAGAAATCATCGTCGAAGAAATCGATTTTGGTTCCATTCTTTTTCTTGGAGGAATCGGCTAAAGATGAGCGATGTGTCTACTTCGCCGAAGAAAATAAATGGACGGCGGAATAGTAAACGATAAGGATGAGGTAAATATGAGAGAGAATGTCTGCTAGCAACGAAAATAAAAAGTGGAGCTTGTGTGTTGAAATGAGATTGTTATTGAAATTTGAAAAAAAGTAATGCTGATAAAATATTTGTCAAAGAAAAAGTAAAACAATAAAACGTGGGTGTTAATCTCAAAAATATATGTTACTGTGTTGTTGTGCTGAGGGGGTAAGTAGTATTTTTCACCAATAAAATAATATCGTTTTATTCAGCTAATTTGCTCTTGGATTGTTTCTACCACACCTAGTTTCCCTTCTTTATATCTATCTTTCTCTTTCTTTTTAAATTTTTTCTCCCTCACAAACAAAAATAGATACCACCGGAGAAGTTATTACAAACTTTAAGATTAGAACAATCAACAAACACACAAAAAAAGTATCACAAGTCTCATCTTTTCACGAATCTCTTTAGCACATTCATCTTCATGTGCTGCTAATGCCTCTACCAATGTCATCATTTTAACTTTTCAATTATTATTTGTAAATATATTGTATAAATTGAAAATTAACATATTTATTATCTTAACATAATTATCATTACAAAGTAAACACAAATAATATTCAGATTTACTATATGTTAACATGTTATAAGTATCAGATATTTTTATTATCACGTTATAATTATCGGATATATTGTACGTTATGCAAATTAGACATTATTGTTATCACATTAACATATATAACATGTAAGAAAATAATTATCATGTTAAGTGTATTAACGAATAGTATATAACGTGTAATTATTGTTTATATGTGAACATAATAATTGTTAACATGTTAACAACATGTTTTTGATAATGAATAATTGTTTTTTAATCAGAAAAGTAGTAACACCGATCATATGATGAACAGTGTCACCAATTTATTCTATCAAAAAGTTAGTTTCTAAACCAATGGCATTCTTTTTTTTTTTTGAATTTTCATAACAAAACTATCAAGGAAGTGTTCGATCTTTTCTTCCAATTTGCATTAATAAAGATTAAAACTTGCAAAAGGGAATTAAGAAAAGATCATTGGGTTTCGATTTATGCCCGCAACGGAACAAGAGCAGCATTGACCTTGCTGCTCTGATCTCTCAAAGGCACTTCAATCAATGGCATTCTTTATAATTATCTAAATTAGGAAATATGTTTTTTTGGGATAAATTTATTTTCTCTTTTCTATTTTACTAATTTTTAAATCAACTTTTTATCTATTTAATTTTTTAGTCAAGAGTTGGTATCGAGTCAATTAACTCATTAGTTTATGACATGCTTTCTTTTTAATAATTTCTTTTTTTTTTGGGGTCTTTTTTAGTTTTTTTTTTTTGTCCTGGTCTCTTTTAGTTTAAAAGTTTTTTTTTTAAAACATAGTTACATATTACCTCCACCTCAACTTTTTTCATTAATCCAATTCTTGCTAGTTGGTACAACTAAGCTAGGCTTGAAATTATTATCTAAACCAAAATGGGATTTTGTTTATGATTCGATTGTATGGAAAGAATAGATGGACAAAAATTTTAAAATGTACTCTAATTTCTATTGGGTTCATTCGAACCGAACTGTCAACCGAGCAATAAAAGTTCCAGAAATATCTCTTTCAAATCACACATTTTTTACCAATATGACACACGATATAATCGTGTTTAGGCACATAATTTATAGTAATAAAAAAGTTTTTAACTATTTTATCCGCCATTATATTTCCATCTTGGAGTTCAAACACCAACTAATATTTGGCAAAATAGGTCAGCAGATATTCATCTTTTTTTTAATCAAATTCAATTATTTACATTGTGATTAACCGAGAGATCACGAGAAGTGAAGATGCAATTCAGAAGATGGAGTAATAAAAGAAAACAAAACTTTGCTCGGTTTTGTTTTGTTGACCAATTATAATTACATTGACTCAATACATATTTGAGTTCCATTACCATCGCCGGAATTTTAAATCTCCGTCGCCGGGATATAAAATACATTGAGATGTATTCTTTTTTTTCCTCCTCAATAACATCATCAAATTTTTGAAATTTTATATTCCTCTACGTTCTGTACAAGCATCATCTTTGCCTCTACAATAATCAAATCCAAACCCCAACATTCATGTCGTATATTCGGATTTCGGATTAAGGGTTCTTCGATTTCACCGCTCCACGACTAGTTATCACCGGAGGAATCAAAATCTTTTTTCCCGATCCAAATCGACGGCGGAAAAAAAAAAGCAAATCATCGATCCGTGATAACATCAATTCGGACCCCAACAGCTCAGATACATGACCGTCCTCAGAGACTCCTCAGCTTGCTTCGCCTTCTCAACATCTTTGCCGGAGGCAACGACGGTGGACGAAGAAGAAGAAGAGAACCTTTTCGCCTGAGAAGCAGATCTCACATTGTTCCAGATACGTTGATTCACCGATCGGATCACGTAATTCCATCGACATAAACCTAATTGATCTTTCGACGCCTCCACGGCTCCGATGCTTGTTGCCACCAACCACGCTTTGCTCCTTGAACCCATCTTCTCTCCTTCTTTCTTTCTTTTAATTGGTAAATATCAGAGAAACTCTTTTCTGCGTTGTGATAGATTGTTGATGAAGAAGATGAGATTCGACGAGGTCTGTATATATAATGGTGAAGAGGATGAGAGATTAGAGTGCAAAACCAGACGCTTTTCTCCGCTGGTTTTCTCTCAAGTTTCTTGTCGTATAGGTGAGAGTGAGTAAATTACCAATTTGCCCATCTGAGAACAAACTGGATAAGGGCTAGTATTGACTTTTTGCCTATCCTAGATTGCCCTCATGCGCACCTGGTTTCGGTAAAACTATTTGGCCCTCGTGTTTCGCTTATCTTTAAACAAAATAGGTAATAAAAGTCGAAACTATCTTAAATTTTGTCTAAAACTTCAAACCTATTTTTTTTTTGTTTTTTACGTTATCATTAGTTCGAAAGCAACAAGTTAGATCGAACATTTGTTAATAGGTTTTGGTGCTCATGGTTTTCTTTTGCCGTGGGATTTATAAAGTACACACATTGTAATTTGTATCACTAGCATTACAAAAAAAAACATACTGTATACTACATTGTAAATCCTACGGGTCAATCTTGTTCAAACCAATCTCCTTGATGATGTCTTCCATCTCGAACTTTCCATAAGAAATCTTCTTTTTTATCGGATGAAACCGAAAACTAATACACCTACATTTGACAAAATCATATTTCGTTTTATGATGATCAAAGTTTGTTTGACTACAAAGCTTATATAATAGGTCTTTGATGTAGGTTCTGATTCTGTTATAGTTTAAGGGCTCTTTCTCGAAAGAACTTTCTTTTCGTGAAATAGAGACAAGAGTAGTTTTTGATTCACAAACATTCCAACTCGCACAAACACAAGAGAACAAATGATTCCACATATGAACTCTAATTAATAAAAAACTAAGACGAAAAAAAATGTTTTACATCCATTTTCTCTGTAGACATCCGACTCCTAAATTTTTTATTTTTGTTTTTACAATGGAATTCAGATGGGATTCGATACATTGGTGTTGGTATGATCACTTCCGGCTTTTAGAGTTTTGGTCTATCCCTAACCAGAAAACATGGAAACTGCACCCATGAATGAAATGTTATCCATTTCTTTTTAGGAAAAAACATGCTTAACTTTGAGAGAGAAATATATTAGACGATATATAAGATTAAGGTAGCAATTTTAAGGGGGGGGGGGGGGGGGGTTTGTCGATTTAAGTTGACGTTGTCGATTTAAGTTTGTTTGGTCAATTTAAGTTTGTTTTACCACATCAGTATTTAATATAAAAATAATCAAATCTAAAAATAATCTATTAAACAACATAAATAAATATAAATTATTTGATTTACATTTAACTATATTAAATTAAAATAAAAACATAAACTTAGAATAAATAAAATTCAAATTTATTAAAATATAGTGATTGTCTTTTCATTTTTTTTTGTTTATGATTTAACCATCTTTAAGCTAACAAAAACAAGTCAATTAATAAAAAAAAGTTTTGAGACCAAAACTAAAAACAATCATTCGAATTTTTTCAAGCAACTGAAGATATATAAACAAGAACTATAAAACCACAAGACACAATAATAACTATCGAAAAGATAAGAGAATATCAAAATTAGAGAAAAAATGATAAAAATATATAATTGCAAATAAATATATATAAAATTTTAAAGATACTGACTGGAAAATAGATTTAATAAATATATGTAATAACAAAATATGTAAATAATAAATTGAAAAAGTTGTTATGTGAGGTTTAAATAAAAAAAATTCAGAAAAATATATGAAAGAGGTTACTAAGATTACTAAAAATGATAAAAAGCAAGTTATGAGGTTAAAACTGAAACCAATATGTTTAATAAAAATAAAAAACTAAAGAAAATCCATTAAACAACATAAATCGATATAAACTATGTAATTTATATTTAAATATATTTAATTAAAAATATTAAAGCATAACTTATAATAAATAAAATTCAACTTTGTTAAAGTATATTGATTGTCGTTTTATTCTATTTACATGTGATTTAATTGTTATTTTTGGCCTACAAAGATAACTAAATCAACAAAAATGAAAAAAACAAGTTTTAAGACAAAAGAAATAATAACAAAAGTCAAAAAGATTTTCAAGCAACTGAAGAACAAAAACAAGAACTATAAAACTATACAATACACAAAACAAAAATTTAATAAATAATCGAGAAAATAAGAGAATATCAAAATTAGAGAGATAAATGATTAGAAAAAAAAGAATATGGCAACAAATAAATATATTTGGAAAGATGGATTCAATAAAACATATGTAATAACAAAATAATTGTTATGTGAGAATTTAAATAAAAAAAATTTGAAAGAATCGATTAAAAAATGACTAAGATCATAAAAACGCAAAATGGTAAAAAAAACAAATTATGAGGCTAAAAAAAATATGTTTAAAATAAAATAAGCAACTAAAGAATAACAAATAAGAGTAATAAATTTTTAACACCAAAAAAATCAATAAAGAATCGAAAAAAATATCAAGATATCAAAAATAGAGAAAACATAAAAAAGAAGAAAAGAAAAGAAAAAAAAAATATGGCAGCAATTTTGAAGATATCAGTTGGAAAGATGGACTGAATGTAATATGTGTAATAAAAAAATATGAAAATGATTAATTCGAAAAAGTTAAAATTGTTGCTAGTCAGGATTTTGATGAAAAACTAAAAAAAAGACATATAAAGAAGTTATTAAATTATTAAAAAGAAAAAATATGTATGCTGAGATAGTTAAAAGTTATCTCTAGATCAAAATTTTAGATCAACGAGTTCGAAATTTAGATGAACAAACTAGAAAAATAATAAATAGAAGAGATTACTAGATTTATGAAAAAAAATTCAAATTATACAAAAAATAAATTGATAACTTAACTAAAAAACTAAAACATAATAAAACAAAACCCGTGCGTAACACAATATGAAGAATTCGCTCTGCACAATCACTCCACAGGCGTTTTGCATATGACATTGGGTTTGGCTTGAGGGTTAATGAAGTTGAAGAAGCTCAGGCAACACTTCACTCACATCTGTGGTGTTGCTTCACTTGTTTCATCAGGCTCACAAATCAATAACATGTTTATTGGGATTTTCTACGGATCTTCACCGCCCTCATAACTCACATGACATGGAGATAATGAAGCTTCTTTGAGGGGAAGGAATAGAAAATACCGGTTATGTTGAGATGTTGGTAACCGTTAGTTTACTTAGACTCGGTTGTATTTGTCAAATTAATTTTATGTTTAATGAAGGAATTTTACCAAATCTCATCGACAAAAAAAAAAAACTTAAAATCCAAAAAGAACAGGTTAAAAAAGCAAATATACACTTAAATTACAGTATATATTGGGCGACACATAACCAAATTTACAAGAACTAAAAGGTTTCAACACCTACAAAAATGTAATGTTGCATACGAGATGAAATGTCCTTCTTCTACAGATCTGGATTCAATGCGACTAGGTAATTCATCATCTCAAGCATCTCATCCATGAAGGACTTTGCAACCGAAGCGATATCAATTGTGGGTCCTCCGCCCCGAACTCCATTCTCGTGCCTGCATATATGATTAATAAATGTAGAGAACAAACATCCATTATTTATTCGTAAGAAAACTTACTCAACTCCCCAATGTTTAAAAGTAAAGAACAAACATCATATATATATATATATATATATATATATATATATATTTGTAAAAACTTACTCAACGCCCCACTGCAAACAGCGTTTGAAATCATTGTCGATAAAATCCTTTGATTTTGGTATTGAGGCTTCCCTCCCATTGTCCAACATACAATATCCTAGCATGAACTTGTGGCTACAACAATTTAAACGAAAACCAATTTATATATTTGCAGCAGAGTTATTGGCAAATGATAAAAGAAAACCAAATTCTAGTTAGTGGGGAGGAAGGAAGATAAGCTACTTGATAAGTGACGTAAAGAATTTTTGCCTTAGAAGAAGGTAAAACATCATGTTTGAGTGAAAATTTAAATCAGACTTGGTGAAGGTAGAGAGATATGCCACCGCGTCATCGATTTCACCACTTCCAAGTTTTGCAAAGAAGCTTTCTTTGTTGATGTAGAAGCTGCAAGCAATTTGCAATAACAAAATGTAGAAAAATGGAAATCGAGAACAAACACAAGAGCAAGTTAATAATAACTAGTGAACTTCTCCACGCATTGTGTGTACTGCATTGTGTGTACTGATATAATTTTCCATTTTGTTGTTTGAAAATCTAATAGTAATTTGAAATCATTTGTTTTTTTTTCTATTATTGAATATATTTGTTTATTAGATTTCCTTACATTTTAATGTTTGAAGACATGATCATGAAAACAATATAGAATAATGCAGATAAAAACACATTAGTATCCAATTATTTTAGTTAAATAGTTTAAAATCTTTTAATCACTCACTACAAGAAAACAGAGATTTAGCGACCTCATATACAGTTGCTAATTAGTCGCTAACACTAAATTTACGACTAATATCATCAGTCGCTAATATTGAGTCGCTAAATTAATTAGTCGCTTATCAGTCGCCAAATACCGACTGAATAACGACTAAATGTTGACGAAGTTAATCAGTCGCAAAGCAGTCGTTACCTTAGCGACTGATTGACGACTGTTTTTGCGACGTATTTGCGACTGAATGGCGACCATATGGTTCGATAATTGAATGATATTTGGTGCAATTTAACGACTGTTTTGCAACGTATTTATGACTGTATTCCGACTGATTTACGACTGCATTGCGACGACTTCAATAAATAAAAACAAAATCTAGTTTTACGATTAGATTCCTCCAAATCTCATAATTTGAATCCATTCTACATTTTAAATAACAATTTAACAGCAAAAAAATATTCAAATGTAAAATGTAAAATGCAAAAAGTCATTATATTACATAATACCATTGTTTTAAAAAAAGACATAAAACCATTGTTTCAAAAGTTACTAAACAAAGATCAAATGGTTACATACTTAACCATTGAGATAAGTTCAAAAGAGTCTTAAGAGCCGAGATACTTAAAAAAA